TGCCTCCCATTCACAACAGCAGACTGCATGTGAAGCAGACTAGAGACCCTAGAGTTGGGTTAAATCTCTGCAAACTGATATATTCTTCTTTCATATGTGTTTTGGTTTAAATTTGTAGCTTGACATGAATTTTTATGTAGTATGATAGTTGTACATAAAGGGCACATGACACCTCTGATGTGTGTACAACCTCCTGGAACTCTTCCTTCTGTATTTCCTGATTCTTGAGGTTACACATGTAGAAGCATAACACTGAAGAGTGCGAGTCCAATTATCAGGACTGTCAGTCACAAAGTTTCCTTCCAGAAACTTTACCTTTACTACTTTTGCTTTTACACATGATAATAATAGGCAATGACCATGGATGGCATGTTGTTTGATGGTTATTGATAAATAACCCAACTATGCTAATTTTGGGGTCTGTGGTATCAATGAATAGAGGGTTACATGAAGTTACACTGCCTTAGCATTAGAAATATGTTTTAAATATACAAGGGTGGTACTGTGCTTACTGTAAAACCACTGATGGTTGCAAAATAAAAGCCCTCCTGTAAGGTAAATAACAGAGGGAATATGTAACAGTCAGATGTAAGCAAGAAAAAGTACATTCAGCTGTGTTTTGAAAAAAGCTGGAGTTGAGGAAGGAAGAAGGCAGGAGAGACTTTATGAGTCAGGAAGGTACATTCAGCTCACAGGGGCTTTCTAAAAGGTGGAAAGTTCCTGAAGCAGAAAGGAAATGCAGAGGGGGACAGCAGGCTCAAGGAAGGATCTGGAGAAGATGTCAGACAAGACCAGCTGTCAAAGTAATTTTTCTCAAATGTGATAGACAGGTGCCATCCTGATGCATGTCAAAGACAGAGGGAGTCTAAATGAGCAGGGAATTAACAAAAAAAAACCCAAAATAACAGGAACCTTTATTAGGTTAATATAACTAACTATGGGGAACTGTAATATTTTAAACATTCTACTGCACTGCTGTCCAAGAAGACTTTAACCATAACTTTGAAGTTCATACCTATTAACTGAAGCTTTTTGGTCTGAAAACTCAGCTATAATCATTACACAAAAACTCCTTCTCCAGATACCTTGCATTTCTTGGGTCCAACTGGCTGAAAACCACCATGAGACCAAAGTTTCTTAAAGAATTTTTATATATCCTTGCTTTATTAACCTTTCTTGACAAAAATGGACTAAATTCTATATAGAAACAGAGTTTGTGTCCTTCTGTACTTAAAAGTAAACAAACAAGACTAGGCTGCTCCTTAAGTTTGAATGTAAAATGGTGTATGTCATGTCATTGCTCCTTCTCAGCTGATTTACCTACTTTTACTACAAGTACTACCCTAAACCCAATAATCCCTTCCATGCAAATACTTCCTTCCAGAGCAATATATATTGCCAGTTCAAAAAAATTGAAAACAACTTTTTACATTATTACAAATATAAACCAAGAACCAAAAAAATTACTTTTCAGATAGTTTAGAAAATATAATATTCTGGAACAAATATGTTTAATAAATCAGGATACTCCTGAACAAACAGGTTTGATAGATGACCAGCTAAGACTTATAGGTCAAAACTGTATTAAATATGTCCCAATAAACATAGTGCAAGGATGTGATGTGGTCAAGCTATGACTTAATGTTGCATCCATAGACAGTCTGTAAGTCATGAGCTTCAAAGTTTTCTCTATATAAGTAGGGTTTTCTTCCCTGTATTTTTAAAAATCCTACTTTTAAGAAGAATAGGGAGACTTGTAACATGCTTATAAACACTGAGAGCCCTCAGGGAAGTTTTTTATTTCATTTTCACCAAAATCATCATTTCCATAATCATTCAGCAGCTGTGGAAATTTGAAAGATTTATTCAGTTCCTATTACCAAAATATTGTGGCTTAAAACCAAGCCAACTGCTACCACTTTCCACCATGCTTCTCAGGACTTTTGACAGCTCTAAATATTTTTGAAATAAACTTCAATTTTTCAAACAATATTTTGCTATGAGAACCAAGAGTGCTTTGCACAGCAAGAGTGATGGGGTATTGCAGCTTTATAAACCAGAGGGACTCTGAAGTCTGGCATCATCTTTCAAACCCACACTTACCAGCACCTCTGAGCTTGTTATTGCAAATATGACCAGAAGCATAGCACACCCCCAGACCAACAAGAAACAGGTCAGATTTACTTATTTATATTGAAACAGAGCAACCCACTAAATTTTACTATTTCCACAGCACTGTCATCTTCAGGCAAACCACATCTCAGTCAGCAGCTCCCTAACTCTTCTTTGAAGCTGGCAGATTTGACGCCAAGCCTGTGGAGAGCAAAACACACCTCCACAGTTACCTTTCCATTGATGAGGTTTTAGCCATATAGCTAAAAAAGATAGAAGATGGGGGCAACACCTGCTGCAAATGACAATCTGAAGCTCAGAAAGTTACCTGAAGTAATTTTGGGAGCCACTGGTACAGTGTTACACTTTTCTTTTTCTACTTAAACATGATGATGTAAGCATAAGACATTTAGAGCCTGGATTCATCTGACCAATTTTAGACTTCCAACTGCTTTTGAGTTGTGATTTATCCTGGAAGAGAGCTCAGACAAGCTATATCCAGCAGCTATTTTACTTCATCAACTCTAATAGGAGTCAAGGGTTCTTAGCTGAGCGCAGACACCGTGTTGTCAGTGGGGTTTCAGCTGGGAATCCAGCAGCTATCTCAAGTCCTGTAATTTCTCTCTAGCTGCATGTCTCAAAAAAAAAAAAAAGAAAAAGGCACCACAGAGAAAACAATATTAATAAATACCAAAGCAAGGCAATGCGTTTGTGAAGCACCATGGGATCAAGGTGAACAGACCAGAGCTCACATCTTCAGGGCTTATAAGTTATAAGACAACCAGATTCTTCAGGTGTTTCTGTTCTCTTGAAGAAGAAGCCATGTCTGTGATTACACCAAAAAATGTTTTCAATGCCCAGCCATTTTACACTCATTAAAATTCACTCAGCTGCCACACATTCCAAAGCACAGGAAGACACATTTACTGAGATTTATTTACACAAATCTGACCCAAATTGATGCTACTCATCCAAGATCAAATTCCATTCCAGTGTGAGCAACCAAAGTGAGTTAAACTTGCAACATAAAGAGCTGCCAGAGTCCTATTTTGAGAACTCAAGTATCATTTCAGAATCATGCTGCTTTTCTGCAGCAAGCACAAGAGATTTATTCTCCCATTTCATGGGGAAGATCTGCATGGCATACCCCGCTCTGCCTCCTGAGAAGGATGTTTCACAGATATGCTGCAGTCAAGGCTGGGTGAGCACTTTCGCAAGTTCTGGGGAACAATTCTCAACACCTACTTGTTAAGCAGGCCAGATGGTTGAAGGCATCCAAGCACTGCAAAGTCTTAACAAGTAAGGAGCTAATACCACATTACTTACTCAGAGAGCCATCTCTTCTTCATGGCAGCCTCCCCCAAAGAAACATAGTGTAAGTTCCTAAATAACTTTCCCCTTGGAGTACTACACAGGGAATCCCAACCTAGCATTGAACATTTTTGCCACTGACGTAACTCATTGAAGGTATATCACTGCAGCTTCCACACCAAACTAGAGCTTCTTATCTAGACCCTTTTCTGCATTCCCTGAGGAAATTGCTGCATCTAAGAGGGTGTGTGGAAGAGACAGATAAGACTGAGAAACTTAGATATATCTTACTCTGCTGTGTAGGTATAGCCTCAGGATCATAAAGGTAGACTCAAATTCCTTCAACAGCTTCAAAATACTAAACAGAAGGGGTATTTATAACCTTTTTAAAAACCCAGTCTTCATTGTCTGAAACCCTACAGTAAGAGTGCTTGCCATCTGCTTAAGTAAATTGACCATTTGTCCCTGTTAGAGACAGCTGGGCTATTGCAGCCATTAAGGTGGCACAGGGAGGGAGTGACATTTTTGTTTTGGGAGGAGAGCACTGACAGCTTGAAACATTCATGATTATGAAGAGCTGACATTCTTAAGTATGTAACGAAAAAAGGCATTCACCAAACACGAGTCCTTTCAAAAGTTCAAGTTAAAGAAATGTGTTTCCTACAATATATCCTTCATTCCTATTGAAGAGATTTGCACCAAATGAAAGAATTGTATCTCTGACAATGCAAAGCATTCATAGTCGCTGGCCAGACTTTTCTAGCATACACATTTGCCTTTTGATATAGGCCATCTGTGAGCTAGCAACAGTAATAAATCTGAATGTTAGCACAGATAATTTTCCAAGTTTTAGGTCAAATGCTATCAGATTTAGCTTATCAGCTTATTAAGATTAAACAAGCCTTTTTGTCATTAGCTTTCTGATTAGTTGCCCGCTTCCAGAACCTGGAACATAGTAAATGGGTTCCTTTTTTTTCCAATAGCATGGTGTGAAATCACTGCTTGATCTCTTGGTGGAAGACAGGAATGTGATGATTTCAGAATGTTTAAAACAGACATTCCTAAAATAGCTAACTGATCTGGAATTTCTTCACAGTATAAGGCCTGAGCTTAGTGGTTAGTTTCCTTCATCTGCAACCATACTGGTTTTGATCTTGTGAGACTTCAAGCTGTGCACTGACAGACTGTTGAGCTGGATACTTTGAGACTTCTAGTACTTGTCTTTCATAGGCAGCAACCTTCCCTAGGGGCAAACATGAAAAATGAAATACAGCCTTGCAGAGCTCTCTGCCACAGGAAAGTGTCCTTCTACGGGTGCTGAGTGCAGTGTCCACAGGCACAACCCTTTGCAGGTCTAACACACAGGAAACAAAAAGCTGTGCTGTATGGAGAGACGTAAAAGTGTCGCTGTTGTAGAAAGGACTTGAGTGTGTTTCAGAATGGCTGGAAGACCTCCACTAAATAAAATTTAGTCAAACTGTGTGTCCCATTTCAGGTCTTGTGCTGGGAGAGCTGTAAGGACGATTAAAAAAAAAAAATGTTCTTTTAATACATTTCACAATATGTTCTTATTTTAGAGTCTACATATCGTCACCAAGCTACCATTGATGATGAAGTGGTTTCCATGGAGATACTAGATACAGCTGGTCAGGTACGTGGGTGCATGTACTATTATCCAGTACCTTGGCTCGGATAGACAACAGGGAAGGCGAGTGCGGTGATGGTGGCAGTGTGGTAGGTGGCGGGTGTGCTCTGCTTCTGGGGACAGAGATGTGCTTCTAGGCAGAGCTCCCCCCTCCATCACCACCATCAGCTTGCTGCTGGACTCAGCGTTCTGCATCCAGACCCTTCTGCAAGGGACTCTGCTTAGAGTTTTCAAATCCTGGAAGAATAAACAAGTCAAGGTTTACTCTGGTATTAAAATTATTCTCATGTCTTGATTCAGGGCCAACCCAACATGTCATTACTACAAATAAAGTCACAGCCTATTTCTACAGCGAAGTGATAAAGCTTTACAGCCTCAATCCATGATTTGCACTAAAGTGAAGAGCAGTTTTGTCATAGTCAGCTCTGCCTTCCTTTCAAAACATAGCACATGCTCATGGTGTGTACGGCTATGCAGCTTGTGTGCTGGAAATCATTCAGAGGAGACCCCCTTCCAAACACCCGCTACCAGCCTGTCCACAGGCAGCTGGGTAGATCTCCTGTGCTATGTGATAAAATAGGTGATGCATGTAAAGTAAAGCAGCTGTAGGCTTTTCAGGCTTTATAGGACCAACATCTCTCTGAAGGTCTGGTATCTGTTTCGTAAATCAAATTCCTAAGGATAGTGTCTGTCTTTGGGAACAGGAGGATGCTATTCAGAAAGAAGGACATGTGCGATGGGGTGAAGGCTTTGTGCTGGTTTACGACATCACAGACAGAGGCAGCTTTGAGGAAATGCTGCCACTAAAGAACTTGTTGGATGAAGTTAAAAAGCCCAAAAATGTCACCCTGATCCTGGTGGGGAACAAAGCAGACTTGGATCACTCCAGGCAAGTCAGCACAGAGGAAGGTGAAAAGCTGGCCACAGAACTAGCATGTGCTTTTTATGAGTGTTCTGCTTGCACTGGAGAGGGCAACATTATGGAGGCCTTCTATGAGCTCTGTCGGGAGGTACGGCGTCGAAAGATGGTCCAGGGCAAGACTCGGAGACGAAGCTCAACCACCCATGTCAAGCAGGCAATTAATAAGATGCTTACCAAAATCAGCAGCTAGAAAGAGCTGTACTAAACCACATAAGATTTTAGAGCATATTAGCTTGGAGCAGGGATGAAGCAGGCAGAGCACATTTAATTAAAAATGGTCAAAGCTTTGCAATGAAAAAAAAAAGACAAACATCACCATATTTTTTAATAACACAGAGTCATACTATTTTCCTGTTTTGAAATGTATTTAGCCACACTGCTTCTGGCTAATGTGGAAAAAAACCCAAAAACACCAAGGAAAAAAACCACCAAATGAACTCCAAAGGACTAGATGATTGTGGGAATTGGCACCAACAGAGAATCTTCTGCTTCTACGGGTCTAGTCCAACGTCCTGCAAATCAGTAGTGCCTAAACATCATTTCCAGCCAACCAGCTGCTCAGTAGCCATTGGCGAGTAAGATTCAGCCTTCAGTCCATCAACTACCATCACAACTAATGTTCTCCAGGACTGAATAAGTGTTGAGGCTGCTCTGTTATATCAGAAGGTTCACCTGACACCTTTAACCAGCTCTAAGTTGGTGCATTGTGTGCTTTTACTCCAAACTGTACTTCCTTGTTATTTTTGTCAAATCTATGTTTTGTCAAAGTGCTGATGTTCTTAGCAAGGTATGCAAAAAATACAGGAAAGGTCTATTTTATGGAGTTTTTGACCAGCAAGACATACGTTTCAAAGAGCTGAAGTTCAGCTGCTCTTCCAGATCCTATGAAACTGCAGAATTCATAAAGAAATAATTAGCTAGTCCAGTGGCATTTCAGCTCTTTCCCCTCAAAGTGCAGTACTGTACTTGGGGAAATGGGACTAAATGTGTTATGAAGTCAAAATTTAAAAAAAAAAAAAAAAAAAAAATTGCTATTGATTTAGTTATGGGTAGGTTTTAGCTTTTGTTTACATTTCTTGTTTTGGTCTTTTTTCAATTCAAGTAGTTCTTCTTAGTCTATCCTATACCGAAAAAGAACAGAATCCTTGGAAAGGCAAGTATTTAAAGTCTAATGCCCAAATGCAGATCAGATGTGAATGGCCTCTACCATATCAAAAGATCACAATTTCCAGCTGTTTAAGCTTCCAGATGTTGCTTGGAGCGCTCTGGGGTTTAAACCAGAACAGGTTTTTTGTGCCTTTTATCTGGTACATTGAAGTGAAAGTGTATTTTATCAGATTTTGGTGCCAGGGATAAAAAGTGTTCATTTTTTTCTTCTCCCTCATGCATCTGATTTAAGCCAGCTGTCAAATTTTACCTCCTGTCTAGTTGGTTTGTTAACTGTATGCTAAAAGATCTAAGAATCAAGACTGGAAGATTTTAATTCAGATTGTTCTGGTTTCCCACCAGTTGTGTTGCATCCCTTTGGGCGTCGTGGTATGCAGTTCAGACTGTTATCATGTAGAACCACTGCCAAAGGTTGGGATGACAAATGGGAATATTAGCATACTCTCCTTTGAGGAAAACCCCCTTGAAGCAACTACTTACAACTGTATTCTCCAGTGCTTTGTACTTCCTATGGTTATTTGCCTCTGTGATGAATTAATTCCAAAAGGCTATAACATACAAATTGCCACAGATTTAGGAGAATGAGTATATCTAGTTGGATGACACTTCAGACAGTTATAGGTAGCCATAGAGGTGGGGATCTTCGCTCGCGAAGACTGGCCATTATTATTAGAGGTGGGGAACAGGCTGAAGAGTCAGATCTGTATATCCCTGTCAACAGAAAAAAATTCCAAGTTAGGACTTCTTTCAAAAGTATTTACTTCAAGGTATTTTACCAAAGTAATTTTTTTTAAACTCTCTAGTTACCCAACCAGCATCAAAGAACATCACATTCATATATATATTTTATTTGTGCTGTTATTTGTCTCCTCTGTTTCTGTATTCTAGATAGTGAAAACTCATTTCACTCTTCTGGAATCAATATCTATATTTTGGTCCTCATGTTCAAGTATATTTCCATACACCATCTAGACATACTACAGTGGAAACACTACCTTGTGCTTCTGGGCAGGGGGTTCTTGCAACGGATTATATCACTGTCTTTGAGACACACCTGTTACCACACTATTTAACACATCTATAACTTTTGTTAAAAAGAAAAAAAAAATACAGGTTTTGCCATTTTTAGTCCTATTAGTAATGTAGAATCAATACAAGTGTAAAGGAAAGAGCTAATGCCTGCTCACAGACCAGAAATCTTTAGCTGAGGGTATGAACTTGCAAGCAGTGTAGTTACTCTAGGAGCCAGAATTATTATTTGCAAGTTGAAGCACAAAGTCGTTTTGTCATCTTTGAAATCAGTGCTGCTGCACAAATCTGAAGTAAACAAAATCCTTACCTGCAATCCCATGGCAACACAGCTAAGAGGAAAGTCTTGTTATGCTAAAATATTGATTCATCCCTCTCTTAGAAAACTTCAACAGTTCTTTTATCTGAAAACCTTTCTTGGGGTTCAGAGTTGAGCTACATTTAAAATACAAAAAGGTTATAGATGAATGACAAGAGAAAATAAATTAATCATATTCATATTAGAAGAGTTAGAGGAGAGGCCCTCATAGAATCATAGAATAATAATAAATAACAATTATAATGACCAGTCTTCGCGAGCGAAGATCCGGGGAAGGTCTTTACATCTTCCAGCCTGCGCATTGGATTTTTTAGGTGAGACACAGTGTGCGGGGAACTGAGCCCACCCTTTAATCCTAAGATTCATCTACTGGGGCCAAGCGAGCTTGGACGGTGGCAGTGAGGTCCTCAGGACGTAGATGGATTGCTAACGAGCTCCATCTGCCCAGGCGAGTGTCCCTGACCGGGAATCGAACACGGGCCTCGGCGGTGACAGCGCCGCACCCTTAACCACTAGACCACCAGGGGCTCCCATCATAGAATAGATTGGGTTGGAAAAGACCTCCAAGATCATCAAGTCCAACCCCTGATCCAACTCCAGTTAGTATATCATGGCACTAAGGGCCATGTCCAATCTCTTTTTAAAAACCTCCAGGAATGGTGAATCCACCACCTCTCTGGGCAGGCCGTTCCAATGCCTGATCATCCTCCCTGTAAAGAATTTCTTCCTAACATCTAACCTAAACTTCCCCTGGCAGAGCTTGAGCCCATGTCCCCTTGTCCTGTTGTTGGTTGCCTGGGAGAAGAGACCAACCCCCACCTGGCTATAACTTCCCTTCAGGTAGCTGAAGAGAGTTGTGAGGTCACCTCTAAGCCTTCTCTTCTCTAGACTAAACAACCCCAGCTCCCTCAGCCTCTCCTCATAGGACTTGTGCTCAAGTCCCATCACCAGCCTGGTTGCTCTTCTCTGGACCCGCTCCAGCACCTCAATAAAAATCCTTCCTGAACTGAGGGGCCCAGAGCTGAACACAATACTCAAGGTGCGGCCTCACCAACACAGAGTACAGGGGAAGGATCACTTCCCTGCTCCTGCTGGCCACACTGTTCTTGATCCAGGCCAGGATGCCATTGGCCTTCTTGGCCACCTGGGCACACTGCTGGCTCATGTTCAGCTTCCTGTCGATCAGCACCCCCAGGTCCCTTTCCACCTGGCTGCTCTCCAACCACTCTGTACCCAGCCTGTAGTGCTGCAGGGGTTGTTGTGGCCAAAGTGCAGGACCCGGCACTTGGCCTTGTTGAACTTCATTCCATTGGAGTCAGCCCAGCTCTCCAGCCTATCCAGATCCCTCTGCAGAGCCCTCCTGCCTTCCGGTAGGTTGACACTCCCTCCCAACTTGGTGTCATCAGCAAATTTGCTGATGATGGACTCAATCCCCTCATCTAGATCATTGATAAAGATGTTAAACAGGACTGGGCCCAGCACTGATCCCTAGGGGACACCACTGGTGACTGGCTGCCAGCTGGATGCAGCTCCGTTCACCAGCACTCTCTGGGCCCGGCCTTCCAGCCAGTTCTTAACCCAGCAGAGAGTGCCCCTGTCCAAGCCATGGGCTGTCAGCTTTTCCAGGAGTATATTATGGGAGACCGTATCAAAGGCTTTGCTGAAGTCCAGATAGACCACATCCACAGCCTTCCCCTCATCTACCAGGTGAGTCACCTGATCGTAAAAGGAGATCAGGTTGGTCAAACAGGATCTGCCTCTCCTAAACCCGTGCTGGCTGGGTCGGATCCCTTGTCCATCCTGTAGCTGCTGTGTGATTGCACACAGGATGATCTGCTCCATAACTCTGCCAGGCACCGAGGTCAGGCTGACAGGCCTGTAGTTACCAGGGTCAGCCTTGCAGCCTTTTTTATGGATTGGGGTGATATTTGCCAACTTCCAATCATGTGGGACCTCCCCAGTGAGCCAGGACTGTTGGAAGATGATGGAGAGCGGCTTGGCAAGCTCTTCTGCCAGCTCCCTCATTACCCTAGGATGGATCCCGTCTGGTCTCATACTTTCCAAAAGAATCTCAGCAAATGTAGCTTCCTTTTTAATGTCTGTGTGGAGAAGTTATAAGATCCTGATGAAAGAAAATATTCCACTGTGCAAATATCACTTGTTACGTAAAGCACCTATAATAAAAATAGTAACATTCCTTTGCAAAGACTGAATTTGGAAGCTGCCAACCAAGATAAACACTTGATCAAAAAGGGGCTGCTATTTTGTGACCTTTCCTCCCACACAAACACAATTTTCTTTATTTAATTGCTCATTAATTTTTTCTTTGGTGTCATGGGCTGATTGTCAAGCCAGTTCTACTACAGTGTATTTGTTGATACACATTACATAGTATTAAATGCAACCTGGTTTTCTATTGCTCACAATGTTGCAACATATTATTGGCAATGCTATAAATGTCTAATATATCTACAATGTGCAAATTGAGCCCAAAATTGCCCAAGCATTGAAAAGGCCAAATGCAGCGTGAATCCACATTTGCTAGCCTTTCTGCAGCAGACATCAATGGTTTAAATTCTGTTTCTACAGCTGCTGTTTAAGTGTATGTATATGACACTAACATCAAGTTTATCTCCTTTGCCCGCTACCATTTCTGTGGAGAGAGAATGGGAAGGATGATCAAAAAAAGGGGAGGGAAGGTGAAATGGATACTTGTTACCTACAACAAGTTGATTGTCATTTATGAAGTTTTAAAATATTTATCTTCAATTGATGAAGAGTTGTCATGCCCATGCTGCAAGACCTGGATCAGGACCCAAGACTTCCCTAGAACTTTTAGAATCTTCATATCTGGGGGTTTGGTGCAACTACAGTTGGAAATGAGGATCAGCCACTGGATCCAGCACCTGGATCCAGACAAGGTGTCCCCAACCTGGGGATAGTTGGATCTGGCAGTTTGCTACAAGTCTAGTTGAATTTTATATATATATAATGATCTGTATGCATTTTTACATTAAAAATATTAAAGCTTGTGCTTGTAGATAATATATAAGAAAAAATAAAAAATAAAAAAAAAAGTGGTCTGTGCTGAACTCTTACATGTTGATCTTCTATTGGATGTCTCCAAAGTGTTGCCTTCCAGCTTTTAAGCAGCCAGTTCCAGAAGTCCTGATTTGTTTTTTATTTAAACTTTGTCTAGGGAAAACAAACAGTGAATTTTGCCTGAGTAGGCACTGCAACATGTGGATCATTTTACTTGAACTTATTTGGCTGCTAGGCTTGGAATAGAGAGGTCAAACAGCATCTACAGTAAGGCGCAGATCCAAATGTCCTTGCTAGCTATTTCAAGGCTGATAAAAAAGCTACAGTGCCAGGGTTATTAAATGACCTCACTGAAACACACCACCCAAACACTGTGCTGCGAGTTAAATAACGTGGATCTTGATCCCAAGCTTCTGAGATAAAATCTTGGGCTAAGTGTACTGGGAGATTCATGCCATTGATTTGGACAGAGACAACTTTTCACCTGCTTCCTATTTTACAAGGATAATGCACTGTTATTCTGAAGAGTATGTAAGGTACATTATATGAATGGTAAAATAATCATACGTAGCATGAGAGTAATCTACTCTCATTTTCCTCCAAACCTGGTCCACCAAGTAACTCATCATCATCATGGCCAGGCTTTGCAAATGAAGATTTGAGAAGGGCTCTACCCACGCTTGCTACAAGCGCGCTGATGGCTAAAAAGGCCAATGCGAGATAGACAAGTCCGGTTGCAGAAGGCACAGCAGAAAGACCTCCCAGGTGATATCGACAAGATGCGATTCTTCCTGCGTTGTCTTTTCTCCTCGAGAGTGATCCTGCGTGTGTTCTCAAAAGCAGCAGCAGCATTATACATGGTGTGTCTCCAGGCCTCCCGATTGGAGGCCAGGGTAGACCAGTGGTGGTGATCAATATGGCCAAGGCTGAGGGATTGTTTCAGGCAGTCCTTGTATCTCCTCTTCGAGGCTCCTCTCTTGTGGCAGCCAGTGGCAAGTTCCCCATAGAGCACGATCTTAGGGAGGCGGTAGTCCTGCATCCTGGAGATGTGCCCTGCCCAGCACAGCTGTGTTCTCAGCAGCATGGCCTCAATGCTTGTGACTGCTGCCTGTTCAAGGACAGATGTGTTGGTCACATAATCCGTCCAGTGGATGTTTAGGATGGTATGGAGGCAGCGCTGATGGAAGCATTCTAAGAGACACAAGTGGTGGCAGTAAATGACCCATGATTCAGATCCATATAAAAGAGTAGACAGTACAATGGCTCTGTAAACGCTGATCTTTGTATTTTTCTTCAGGTGTTTGTTTAGCCAAACTCTTTTATGGAGTTTACCAAAAGCTCTGTATGCCTTTGCCAACCTGCTGTCTATTTCTGCATCAATCTTACTGTCTGAGGAGATGATGCTTCCCAGGTAATTAAATTGCTGGACTGATTTGAGCTCTGTTTCGCCAGTGGTGATATGGGAATGATGGAAGACTTCCTGAGGTGCAGGCTGATAGAAAACTTCTGTTTTCTTCAAGCTGACTTCCAGCCCCAAAAGCTCAGCAGCCTCTGCAAAGTAGAATGTTAAGTGCTGCAGAGCTACTTCTGTGTGGGTGACGAGGGCGGCATCATCAGAGTAAAGCAGCTCAAGGACAAGATGATTTAAGGTCTTAGTGGGGGCCTTCAGTAGCCTTAGGTTGAAAAAGCTTCCATCGGTACGATATCGAATGTAGATACTGTTTTCTTCAAGTAACTCAAAGCATGATCATAAACACGTGAACATCAGTAGGAGTATAAGAATATCATCTTCAACAGAGCACTGCATGAAATCTCATTGCTGGATTGATGCTCTGATACATAACTTCACCTTTGTGAAACCTCACAAAAACTAGATGAGGCATCCTTCCAGTTACTGTCTGCCTCTAGAGCATTACAAAATAGTCTTGAGTTCTGTCAAACCACACTTACTCCAGTCAAAGTAATGTCTCCTGCAAAATAAGTAGCTGCAGTCATAAAGGCTATGTATAAACAGTGTTTGGGGTTCCTTTTATCTTTCTCTGTAATGCTTCAGTACATTTGCATACCTTAAGAAGAAAAGGAAAAATATAGAGGCTTTAATAAGAAAAGGCTGCTTGGCATTTTGATGTATCTGCCTTTATGTTCTTTGAAAAATGAAACATATAATGAAAACAGTGTCATCTTAGAAACTCAGGTGTTTATGCATTTTATTTCTGTTAAAGATGCCACATACTAATTAGCTCAGGGCTATGAAAATACAAAGCAATGACTTGCAGTCCAGTGCTCTGCAAGGTTACTAGGAGGTGATAATGACGGCTTGTGTGAGGCCAGTTCAGTCTGGTTTCTGTAAACACAGTTCCACATGGGGAAGCTATTAATGCAGCTTGAAGCAGAAAAAGACACTTTAAGTACCTGGGGCAGGACTCCCCTGAATCCAGTGGGGTTATGCATGGGATGGATCAAGCCCTTGGTCCACTACCTTCGTAGCCCACGTGTAGAGAAAATGCTCCAAAAGTCAATGTCTCTCATCCACTTGAAGGATTCTTCTCCATTTTTAGTTTGAAATAGGCTGGTAGGAAACTGTGAGGTAAGTTGGCACTACTGGCTGTCTAATAAATCAGAGAATTTGGTGGGAGTTTGGCCTTCTGACTGGTCTCTTTCATCTCCAACTTGATTCTCCAAAGCAACATTTGTCTTTTCCTGCTGTTATTGTATTATAATAAATTTTTTTGAGTTTTGGTTGGTTGCTGGTTTGGGTTTGTTGTTTTGTTGTTGTTTTTTTTTAAATTGTAGGTGTCAATAGACTCTGATATCCAGAGGTGTTTTATGGGCAAAGAGGGTGTATCCTCTCACAAAAATGAAGTATTTGCAAATGCCACTGGATATAAATGCTCAGCAATGAATACAGCATCTCTGAAGAGTTGGAAATTTTTCTTTTTTTTTTAATAAGGGAACCTCTCATAATTATAGTACAGACAGGTACCACAGTCCTAAACTAGATGGAAATATTCTGAATCACTAGGAGTAGCTACGTCCTACCATGAAATATTAACATGCAGAATAATAACAAAAAAATTGCAGACAGACCTCAAATTATGCCTCACAGACCAAACCTACACATTTTTTCCTTTTTAATTTTATGTACGTGGTATTAGGAATTTTTCAGAACCTTTCAAAATCCTGAAAGTTCCAGTGACAAAGAATATATCAGTAATGCAAAAATTAATGGTTTTTATCAAACTACTTTGTCAGTACACGTGACATTAGCTCCATCTTGTTTCCTCTAGCCTGGTCAAAGCTGTCATTGCTATAAGGAATATCAAGGAAACACAGAAGGAACTTCTGACAGTAAAAAATTCAAATAAAAGAAACGGTAAATAACCCCCCAAAAAGGGACATAGCCTAAATAAAGGTTGAATTCCTATTTTCCTGAAAAGCAACTGCAAGATTTCATATACCAACACTGGTACACAGCTGATCTAGCCAAAATTAGTAATCAGAAACAGTTGAATGTTTTGAGTTTTGACTTGGATTTCTTTTTGTAAATCTAACTGAAAAGAAATAAAATTATTACTCTGCAATTACAATTAGTTACAAATTAATTGTAGGTTTCAAAAAATCCAGAAAATTCATTTGAAGTTTCTAGCTAGGAGAGAAGAGGGGAGGAAAAGAAAGAAAAATAAGAAAAAAAAGAGAAAGAAAGTAAAATAGGAGGAAAAAGGAAGAAAAAAGGGGGAAAAAACTAAGAAAAACCTAGTTAAAAAATCCAGATAATTTCCTTTTTGTTCTTAGGGTTTCTCCGTGCAAAGCTTTTTGTAGTTCTGTGGTTAGTCACAAATAGCCTTTGTTAGAACACCAAACACTGACACTTGGTATCCAAAAGTCTTGTATCTCATAAGGACAGATATAATCTCAACCACATTCATGTAAACATTCAACTCAATTCAGCACAAATCTGGGATAGAAGTTTACATCTACTTCAATCCAGATTATTTCACTTTTGCATTCTGAAAGCAGGGTGTATTACCCATCTCTAGAACGGAATTCAGTTCCAAAGAAGTGAGTGTCATTAACAATATAAATTACACATGGTTTTATTATGCCAAAATATATCCAGCAGAAATCCATAACAAAAGAATGATTTGTCTGTGTGAACTGAAAAGAGCAAAGGAATGTTGGATAAGTTCTACAAATATTAAATCTCTCGACAGACCCATGAGTTGCCTGTTGTTTCTTTTCTCTGTTTTTCAGTTTTTGAAATAACTACAATAAACATAGAAAGTCTGCAACTTTGAGGGAATTTCTGTGAAGGACAGTATTTCTCTGCTGTGGAGTGAAAGCATTCAAAGGTTATAACTCAATAGAAAACATCAGGAATGACAAAAATTTATTTTAGAGATGGAGTAAGGTAGGAAAGAGCGGTATCTTCAGACTTCTTAGAAAAGAAGGTAGTTAAAGCTCTCTGAAGAACTCTGACATATATACAGAGGGATGAACTGTTATCTGAAGTTTAATCTCAGATTTTTTTAAAGAAATTATTACTGCAGGGAGCGAAGAAGAGATGGATAAGATGGTATGTTTTGGTAGTCAGCCACTGAGTCTTCACTTGTGGGCTAGGATTGTCATCATTCTGAAGCAAAGAGCTAGTTACTAGCCTGGTTTCAGAAAATTTTCTCCAATAAAACCTACCACTGCTCCAATTTTCACAAACTGATTTCAGTAGGAAAAAAAAAGTACTGGAGACTGAAAGATCATACTATGTAGCCCTTGAACATTTCCTGGGATTTTAGAAATGGCTGCAGGCAGAAATCTATAAGGTACTGTAAATATCCATAAAATGATAGGCATGATGTTCTGCCACATTTTGCCCGTGTGTTGGTTTTGAGTTTTCACCATCAAGTTCTGGGCTGTTTTGATGTCTTTTTCATCTTCAAGGGAAAACTTAAAAGTTGCTGATGCAAAAAGTTAGTGATTTGGAGGGTTATTTTACAAAAAAAAACATTCCCAACCACATTTTAATTTAAATTACTGTGATGAGCTCAGTGAAAAT